GACCTTCCTGTGTTCCTGATCCCTGCTCGGCTTCCTGTTCCTGACTATCCGGTACTCCTGTTCCCTGCTCGGCCTCCTGTTCCCGACCATCCGGTGTTCCTGTTCCCTGCACAGCCTCCTGTTCCAGCATTCCTGTTCCCCGCCCGGCTCTCTGCCTCGGACCTTGCCCCTCTTCGTGTGGACTCTGCTACACCCAAGGTACCTTACCCCCGGGACCAGCACAAAGTGATTGTTTTGGTTTGCGAACGTTCTTTTGGAACCCAAGCATATGACAGGGCTTCCGTGACTTCCGATTGGCTGCCGGAAGTTCCTGCAGCCAATCAGAAGCCACGCTTTGGTTTCCGAACGTTTTGGAAGACGAACGGACTTCCGGAACAGATTCCGTTCGACTTCCAAGGTACGACTGTGTTTTATTTGTACAAATCTGTGCTATGCATACATTTTAAATGATTTACTGTACTGTCTTGTTATGTGTTTTTCAAAACTGATTTAAAATACCCACAGTATTAATTCCATGTAGCTGAGTGATAATCTTGGGCTAGCTTTGGCTTTCTTCAGCAAAGATAAGAATATTTGAGAAATGAAAGGCTCTGTGCCAATGCCTGGAGGAGCCCTTGCTGTTATTTAATTAGCTAAAATATTTCTTAACCTCCCATCAAAAGATTTCAGGGTTGCGTTTAAAAGTATGAAAACAACTGACATAGCATCGAAGTACAATATTAAAATAGCAACTAGCATAATAAAAGGCGGGCTAAAAACAATAAACTAAGGAACAGAGAATACAGTTGTAACTTAACATTTCATATGGAAGGCCTGGACAACAAGGAAGGTCTTAAATCTCCTACTGAAAAGATTGTAATGCCAGATGTAAACAGAGTTTTGGCTCCAAGCCTCATTCTCTCCCTATCAAAGCCCTGGGTATCAACTCCTCGTATCACCTCTCAGATAATATCCTTGTGATGTCTTTCCCGCCATCTCATAAACATGATAGCTGTTTTGGGAAAGGGGGAAAATATACTGAAATGTACTTATAGTCCAGCAAAGCCATCAGCTTGACTACCAACAAGCTGAGAACTTTGCAGTTCTTGGGGAATTAACAAGGCCAATCTACAAATTTTTGCTGCCTGAATTGGAACAACAAATAGTGCCCTTGCAGACCATTTGCATCAGACTCTAAGTTTGGCACCTGCAACATAAAATCCCTAAAGCGCCTCTCTCTAAGTGTAAAACAACAGTCATAATAACAACTTCTTCTTCTTCTTCTTCTTCTTCTTCTTCTTCTTCTTCTTCTTCTTCTTCACAATTTATGGCCTTTTATGACACACAAAACAATTTATTTACAGGTAGGTAGCCATGTTGGTCTGCCGTAGTCGAAACAAAATAAAAAAATTCCTTCCAGTAGCACCTTAGAGACCAACTAAGTTTGTTATTGGTATGAGCTTTCGTGTGCATGCACACTTCTTCAGATACACTTCAGAAGAAGTGTGCATGCACAAAAGAGCTCCTGGAAGGAATTTTTTTATTTTGTTTCAGAAAAAAATTATGGCCTTTTATGTCTGAGGCAACCACCTCACTCTACCTAATGATAGGGCCAGGTGTTGATTCAACAGTGTGAGAAATTACACAGCAACTGGGCACAACTCTGCCCCATCTGCTAGGGCCTAGCACACGGTAGTCCACCACATGGCCCAAGGGCAGCATGCGGCCCTCAAGACTTTTTTTGGTGGCCCTTGGCAACATTTGACAACCTCCTCACTGCAGCCCTTACACTGCCTACCCAAAGCCGGGTAAGGAGGCACTGGACTTTGAGAAGGAGGCATGAAGGCTCTGACAGGGACCTAGAGTCCTCCCGCCTTCTTCCCAAAGCCTGTGCTGTGTGCAGTAGCACTGACTCAAGGTAATAATAATAAATAATAATAAATTTTATTTATACCCCACCCTCCCCAGCCAGAGTCTGGCTTAGGGAGGCTAACAACAGTAAAAATTACAGTAAAAACATAGTAGGGGTGGGGGATGGGGAAACCAATCTAAAATACAGGTTAAAATGCAATTTAAAATACAGCCTCATTTTAAAAGTAGCCCATAGATCAAAACCATAAGGGGAGGGAAACATAAGGGTCAGACTGAGTCCAAACCAAAGGCCAGGCAGAACAGCTCTGTCTTGCAGGCCCTGCAGAAAGATGTCAAGTCCCGCAGGGCCCTAGTCTCTTGTGACAGAGCGTTCCACCAAGTTGGGGCCAGTACTGAAAAGCGCTTGGCCCTAGTTGAGACCAATCTAACCACCTTGTGACCTCCAAAATATTGTCATTTGTGAACCTTAAGGTCCTCCGCGGGGCATACCAAGGTACTTTGTTGCCTGAGGTGAAGGACAATTGCCCCCATCCTCCATTCCAAGTTGAATCTTATCTCGTTGTCTACTGCACAATGCCCTTTGCCGCATCTTGAGGACAGCAGGCTAGTTTAGGGGGCACAGGGTAGGCCGCCTGGCACACACAATGCTGTCCTTCGACACCTTGCTACTTCTCTCCGCCTCCCCCTGCCCTGGCATCCAGCACCTTAGGTGGCTGCCTCACTAATGGTAGGGCAACCTGCTTGCAGTTTCTCCACAACAGTTATTCTATCCCTAAACCTATATTATCAACTCTGGGACACTAACACAGAAAGCCTGCACTCAGCATGCAAATCCAGTGTCACCTTGGAGACATTACCTCAGTACTGGAGAAGGAGGGAAACCAGGAGCAGGAGTCTGGAGTTGGCATGGAGTTTAGGAGAAGGTGATTAAATCAGTGTGAGGGAGCAACTATGCTTCTTTTATTTTTTTAATCTTGGGAAACGAAACAAAGCAAATCACTAAGGCCATTCCTGAAGCTCTATGGATATTTATGTGCTTGGAAACAGCAGAGGAATGAAGGTGTCCCAGATTGTTCAGGGGAAAGAGAGGAAGCGACCGTTAAGAGGAGAGAATGAGTTATTTAATGCCTTGGATGAATGCCAAATCGTACAAGGTTTGTGTGTGTGAATTTTGCTTTCAGGGGATGTAAGCGATCAGTAGTACTGAATAAATGTTTGCCTTGCTGCACAACAGAACCGTTGGAAGCTTGAGTGCGTGGCGTTAACAATCTCTCATTCTTAAACTGTAAATTGTTCAGGACAATGGCTCTCTGTGTGGCTACCTTGTGTTTACATCTCTTGTATGGCCCTCACCTCCTGCTGTTCTGCTGCTGTCAACTTTTAATCATAGTGATGGTTTCAATATCACTCCCTCCTCTGAGTAAAACAAACAAAAGGAAAAGCCCCTAATATGGCATATGAAAGCATGACTCCTCAAGGACAGTTGCCTACAATATTGGGTTATGCAACTGAGAGGTGCATTTTCCAGCCCCCGCCCCCACCCCCTGCAATCTTTGGCATCCTTCTCACAAACAGCGGTAGAGCTCTTGGATGGTACCTCAGGTCAAGTATTTAATTCGTTCCGGAGGTCCGTTCTTAACCTGAAACTGTTCTTAACCTGAAGCACCACTTTAGCTAATGGGGCCTCCCGCTGCCGCCGCGCCACTGGAGTACGATTTCTGTTCTCATCCTGAAGCAGAGTTCTTAACCCGAGGTACTATTTCTGGGTTAGCAGAGTCTGTAACCTGAAGCGTCTGTAACCTGAAGCGTATGTAACCCGAGGTACCACTGTATATGCCACAGTATTCACAATTTAAAGTTGAATCATTTTGCTGATCTACAGTCAACAGGAAAAATACCCTGGGCATTTCAAGAATGATTTCAGCTATATAGTTACAAATTCAACAATATACAGTACTTGGAAGTTCAAATCACCTGTCAGCCTCAGGGCACAAAAGAAAAGAAAAGAGGAAGGCAGAAGTTTAATAAGGAAGAGCAATTCCATCTAAGGAATGTTTTGAATTCTGCTTTTGTCATGTTTTCTCGCAGGCTGTGGGTCTGTTCTAAATACTCCATAAGAATCAGAAAACTCTAAAGAAATCGCTTGCCACTAGCATAGGTACACATCTTGAAAGATCAAATGGGTACTAACAAGGGGTGGAATTCAACACTGAGCTCTGCTACATGTTCCGCTTGCACAAGCACATCAGCTTGCTGGACAGAACGATTTCCCTCTTCTCCCCATTCCCTCCTCCTCCCTGTTCTCGGTAGCGCAGGAAGAAAGCCGCATTACAAAAGTGGAAGCCCTTGTGGAGGGCTTCCACTTGAAAGAGTTCATTAGATTTTTCCTCAGCGGTATAAGCTTGGGCTAGGTAATTTATTATGGTTGTCACT